GTCTGCAAACAGCAACCTTCTCGTCTTCACTTCTCCTACACTGATCCATTCATCGCCTTGGCAGCTCCTGACTATTCTATCCATGTACAACACAAATAGGACAGGGGACAGGACGCAGCCTTGGCGGAGACCAGTGCGAACGTTGAATAGTTTCGACTTAACGCTGTTAACTCTGACGCAGCACCTGTTATCAGAATACAGTGATCGGATGGCCCTTAGCAGCTGGTCGTCTATTACGTATGCTCGAAGGCATGACCACAGACTGCTGCGTGGGACCCGGTCATAGGCTTTTTCTGGTTCAACAAAACATGTACACTGGACGGGCGTACTCCCACGATTTCTCAACAGTTCGGCGCAGGGCAGATATATGGTCAGAGGTTCTTTGACTGGGGCGGAAGCTACACTGTTCTTCTTATATCTAGGAGTGAGTTGTTCCGCGACATTCTCTGTGGATATTCGAGGCCCATTTAGCCATAGTGTAATTCTTTTCAGACCGATTTTAACTTAATTGCTTAGTTTGATATCATAATGTGAACTAACTTGGTAGTACCGTTGCTGTTACTTTTATTCTCGATGCTATATTTGCAGCACAAATTTGACTGCTGTGTCTGTACTTAGAACATTGCATCATGAAGTGTACAGGTACCTTAGTAATAGTCTGTTATCCTCAGTGCCATCTAGAGGCTTATATATTTGTCGCGTTTAGGCCACAGCGGGAAGTTCGCATCATACTACAAACGATATGACGAACCTGGCTGGGAAGGAAAACATCGAGAAGAAACAGAGACATTCACTGCCGACTCAAAAGGTAGACGAAAGAAATCGAAACTTGCGTCCGCAGAACGCCGTTATGAACACCCATTTCGTTTCTAAGGACAAACACGGAAGTTCTGTTGTGGTGAAGCGGCGCGCAATAATGTGAAACGCAGTCAATAATTGTGATGACATTTAGGCCATTAACTCTAACATTGGCGACGTGCCGGATGATCCTGGTGGCCGATCACAACAACCTATCAATCCGCGTCCGGAAATCGACTTGCTCAGTGAAACGAAGTAAGTTTTATACTTCTGGTTAGATTTTTGTGATCTTTTTATTTCAACTACTACGCCACTTAACACACACCATTATTTCTAAACTCTTCTAAAATTTGTCTATAATGAATTTATGCGCGAACACTGTAATAGACTAAAGGTGATATTGGAAAAGCAAGTGGGCGAAAGCAGTTCAGCTTAAGTTCGCATAAGGCATTCTGAAACAAATATATGCAGATGGTAGCGAAATGCGCTTACAATAAAAGCTTTATGCAAAACCTAGCTTAAAAGTTTTACTTTAAACCAAGCCCTCAATAGTGTATCAAGAGATTGTTTACATTTCCAATAAAGTTTGAAGAATAGTCATTTCTTAGTGATGCTTATCAACTTTCAGAATTCTCACATGAGATTTCGACAGCATAATTTCATCGATCAGTCTTCAGCTATTGATAGGAATAAGCTGATCTATGGTATGGAATTAAAATAACTCATTTGTGAATGTTTACTTTCGGCGGACTGTTTTCTTGGTGCATGGTTAAGAAATTCAAACGTATAAGGGTTCGAAGGGTTTCATTAACTGTCGATGCATTTCGTCATCATCACCGGTAACATCCTGGGAATCAGTAGCATTTCAACGAACTTCTATGGTTTATTTTCTTCTTTTCCACTTGTTGCAAGTCGGATAATTTATTGGGCATCAGAACGAGGTAGTTGCGTGACAGTTCAGGTAGTAGTAAATGATAGTTAAGACATAATTGCCATTACACCAAAACGTGAAATTCTTCGCAAGATTCCTATTATTCGTGTTTCTTTCAGGTGTTGTTGTTTCAAGCATAGAAGACGAAAGAAGGCAGAACACAAGTAGCAGCAGACAGCTCTTGCTCATGTAATGAGCCCTGATTACGATTCCGCCGCTGTTATGCGTGACACTTATTCCGGTTATACGTGAGCTGTTGCGTATTTGACAGTGAACAACTGCAAGTGGAGTGCATCATTCTGAAACTGCTGGGTTTACTCGTTCGTTGACAGTATGATCGCCGCAAGCATCATTTTCATCGTTGTGGGGCAGTTGCCTGTGATCAGCGTCACGCGCATCAGGATATCCTCTGTAGTATTCTATTAGTTGCTTTCTCTTCTAATTCGATCTCTTTTATATATGATGGTTTATTCCCGCTTAGTGCGGGTTGGCAGGCGAAAGCGATTGCACTGCGCTGCTAATTTGTTGCTTCATTTTATTGCGCATTTTCTTAACGTACTCGATCACTGCAAGTTGTTTCATTTTTTTGCGTCTGCCTTTCAAATGACTTTAATTGACATGGAGTTTTCATTTTGTTGCTTTTTAAAAATCGTTGCAAAAGTAAACGTTTTTACTTTGCTTATGGGCTGTACGTCTGCGATTTTTTGTGGTTATGCAACATATAGTTCCGCTGTCGTTTTCATGCTTATTAGTTGTTCGCTTGCGGTTCTAAATGCGAACATCACCCGGTCTTGGGTACATCTGTAAATTTTAGACTCAGCATTTGATAACATCAGCATTCGAGTTTTCATAAAGCTAACCCATGTAGAATTAGTTATTGCAAGTGATACATGCACGAGCATCTGAAGGAATTTCGAAATGGCGAATGGTTACCTCGCTTTTTTCTATTATTGTATTTCTAGGCATATGATTGATGTTCAAAAAATAAATTTTTCTCACATCAGCGCAGTCTTTTCTGCACTTCCCTTCCCACTCCGTATCATACTAGAAAATCCTTGTAAAAATATCTTTAAAGCACTGACATTGAATAGTGCACCAACGCAACACGGTTCCAAATTAGTACCTTCTAGCAATTTAAGAACTTAACTTAATATAGCTTCACGTGCGTAATACGAAATTACTATACTATTAGATGCAATGGTTCATAAAGAACAAAAATACTCGGGTTATTGTTCTGACTTGATGGTGGTGAAGGTATGCAATTCAAGTCTACAGTAGGTTCATGACATTACGGCATAGTTAAACAGGGAGGTTATGTTCTTCAACCTCTGTTAGTCAACGATATGGTGGAAACAGTAGACTAGCTAAAGGCTGCAGATAGGAATCTTACAGCTGGATAGAATCTAAAATTCATTCAGCACTCGTACAATATTGAATAAATATGATTTCGAGGTACTTGAATTTCACCTGCTCCACTGCCTCTCCGTTAATCTGAACAGAGCAACGCGCAGGAGGACGAGAAAACGCGGTTTTTCGTTTTAGATGCGTTTACATGCATACCCCGTCACGTCGCACTCGGCTGCCAACCTTTGTAGTGAGCATCGTAGATCAGTTTCGGAAGATCCCAATAAACCAAGGTCATCTGCAAACAGCAACCTTCTCGTCTTCACATCTCCTACACCGATACCCTCATCGCC